GAGGGGGGGCGGCTAGGGTTTTGGTGGAGGCTCTGATACCAAATAGAATATGAAAACCCTAATTCAATAAGTGAGATAATATGGGCTTATATAAGACCTACAAACATATCTTACAAATAAGCCCCTTAACTATACTTTTATAGGTCCTACAAACATATCTTACAAATATATCTAATACTTTTCCTAGAAAAGAAACTTACCATTTCATATTTATGCCACTTATAACATCTATAATAATATCTCTTGTTGTAATTCTGCAAGAGAGATAATTCCTTTATTTCATTTTTGTTTTCTTTTCTTTGTTTCCGGAATATTCTAAATCATGACATGAAAATAGGATTTGAACCCACATAATTAAAATGTCAATTATGTGAGTTTCAAATAATATTCACATATCATAATTTAGAATGTTCTAGAAAGAAGAAAAGAAAACAGAATGAAGGGAAAACACCTTTCTTGTGAAATTACGATTCTACCCTCATGATTACATTATGAATGGAAAAATTTCATCCATCCCTCAATAGTTTTCACTTCCCTCACTAAGTTCTTTCTATAGTAGTATAGAAAACAAGTTTACAGCTTTTCATCAGATTCGCAATATAAATACGTATACTAAATAGGAGTCAACAAGACACAGAAAGCTCTTACATCTATGACCTCAATCCAAAGCCAATACACAAATAAAATAAAAAGTGAACTGATCCCACTTAACAGATTTCACTAGATGAGACAGCATCAAACAATACAAAATTACTGCAATTAATAGAAAAAATGAAGAAAAATCAGATCAGATCAAGGAAACCTAACCAAAACTTTGGGGGTCAAAGGTCAAACCTTTGTATCCAGCATAACGGCACAAGGGATCTGAGTGTTCTGCATCGCTGCCCTGAGATTATCGAGCGTCTCCTTGTGATACTCATGGGTCCCATGCGAAAAATTGAATCTTGCAACGTTCATCCCCGCCCTCAGAAGCTTCTCGATCATCGGCACCGATCTCGACGCCGGGCCGAGAGTGCAGACGATCTTCGTCTTCGGGATTCTGCCATCTTGAGGGAGCTCTTTCAGTATTCCTTCGATGTCGATGTTCGCCATTGCAAGGGACAACTGGAAACCCTAGAAATTTGATGAGAGCTTGGACGGAGGAATTTGGGTGGGCGGAATTTTTTTCTTTTTTCTTTTTGATTGTTTTCGGAGTGTGTTTTTGTTTTGTTGTTGATTAAGAATTGGCCGGTGGTTTCGGAGGACGTGGGCACTGAACAGTGCTGAGGTTATGACATGTGGCATGTTGTGAGTGGAATCTAGCTTGGATCCGATGGATGCGTGGCATGCTCTGAGTGGAATCTAGCTTGGATGCGATGGATGGATGTGTCACAACCATTAATTATCTAACGCACAGCTGTCGTACATTCTAAATTTAATATTTATTATATTTTTATATATTAAACTCATTTCTAATCTATACTCTAAGAAATATTTTAATGGGGTGTTTGTTTCATTTTTTTGGGATATAGGGTGGATTTTAAGTTTTGGGATATAAAAAGTGATTTTTTTGGGTTTTGGTATTCCATAAACTAGTTTGCAGTCCGTGCAAAGCACTACGATAAAATTTTTTCATGCTATAGCAATCATGTTTCTTAAATGCTACAGTAAGTTCCTTGAATTGCTACAGTCCCTGACATCTTTTAAAAATGCTACAGTGTTCCCGTGTGCTACAGTAATAAAGCTAATGTTCATACTATAGTGATTATTTTACTGTTGAATTTACTGTAGCATGAATAAGAATTCTCTGATCCTCCTATTTGTATAAAGGAATAGATCTTGTTTGTTTCAAAAAAAAATTAGGATATTGAATCCCCAAAATATAAAAAAATAATATATTTTAGGATTTGTGAAATCCTCTTATTTAGGTAGGATGTGGGCTGGATTTCTGACAAACACCGCCAACTCATTTCTTCTCAACTTCCGAAAACCAAAATCCCTCGTTCCCATCACCGCTTCGGTTCTTCTCCCTTCTTTTTTACCCGCCGCCTCATCCATTACATGCCCCCCCGCCTCCAAAAATGTTTCGCCGCCTCTCTCTCCTCTCCAAGCTCTCTCTCCCCCACGCTCCCTCCATCACCAAGACCCTAGCTCCCTCTCTCATCCCTCTCATCAAAACCCTAGCTCCTCAACCTTCATCCTTTCCCAATTCCATCTCTAGATCCCTACAGTTCAATGGCGATGAGGTTGTTACCCAAGATGAGCATCTTGAGCCTGAACGATCTGAGAGCATCTTGAGCCTGAACGATGAAATTTGGGTTTGAGGGAGGGCAGACTCCGCTGAGGCGTCAGTTGCCCAAGCGAGGGTTCAAGAATCGATTCAGTCTTGAGTTTTCAGGTGAGTTTTTAGGGTTAATGTGTTTTTTGTATTTTACTGGATGATTTCGTGGTTTATAATCAGTGAAGTGGTTGGTGAGTAGTTTTAGTGTTAGGAATAAGAAGAAGGATTTTGAAATGTGGAGAAATCTGTTCTATTGTTGTTGGAAACCTGTCTCTGTAAGTTTTTTTCCTACTTGTTATTAGTCTGTATACAACAAACAAAGTAGAGCTGTAATTTAAGTACTTTATGCTGAAATAATATTCAATTTCTTTTTCACGACAGCCTGTTGGATTGGGACAAATCGCAAAGCTGATAGCAACCTGCATTGCACGATATGTATTGGTATGGCTACTTTATATTATTCAATTTGGGCAATGATGATGGTCTTAGTTATGAGAATACAATCTACAATGTTTTGCTATGTTTAGGTAGGACAATCTAAGATGAGAATGCAACCTACATTGCATTTACAATGTTAGGTGAGGCAATCCATTCATGTGATTGCAACCTACATTGTAACATCATTGTTAGATGAGGCAATCCATGTATTTAATTTTAATACCTATATCTGAGCCCCTACCTTGGTCCTAGAGTTTTCTAATGGTTGATTGTCTGAGCATGTTTGATGGCTTGTGAGCATTCTTGTTACTAACCATGTCAAGTGCATATTTCACTACTTTTGCCAACCCTGTTTTGCATACTTTGATGGCATGCTTGTTTGCATACTTTCTGGTTACATGAGCTGATCCGTGGTTTGGTTTGTTTCATTCTTGCATACTTTGATGGCTTGCTTGTTTGCATACTTTAACTGATTCGATTGCTTAATTTTATACAAGCCAGTCACATATTTATATGGTTCACAAAATTGACAAAGTTTCCTCAACACTTAAAAGTAAGTCACAACATTTTTAGCTATGTTAAGTGTATGTAGCTCAAGTTTTCCAATGTTCATCGATAAAATTGAACACCAATTGACTTACGTGGGAAATCTTTACCTAAGTTTCTCTTCTACCTTTATTCTTTTTTGCTTTTCTAACCAATCTGAATCGCATAAGCATTCAGGCTGTCATTATCCTAATCTTTCTTCAAATTGCCATGTTGCCTTGTGCAAATCTCAGGACATCCTAGGAGCATTCATTATTTCAAATCACATAAGCATTCAGGCTGTCATTATCCTAACTTCACCCATATGTTGCCGGTTAAACTTCACTTTCTTAGATGATATCATGGAGGATATTTGCATATTAGATTTCTTTTCCTTAGATTAGGCTTAATTCTCTTGGTTGTTTTTGATGGCTTACTAATTTGGTTGTTTCAGTTTAAGTTTGTTGTTGAGCTTGGTTACTTGTGAGCTTTCTTGTTTTCCATGGTTTTAGTTTCAGTTTCAGTGTCATATGTATTAAAATCATATTTATCAAAAGCCTTGTAAAAGAAGGTTTGTTGGTCGAAGCTGATCATTTGTTTTGGTCCATTGAAAAATGTTGTTGCTCATCAAATTCTACATTGCTTAATGTAATGGATTCTATTGTGCATGTACTATTGTTTACTCTAGCTCGGGATATGCAGTATCGGAACTTACTTTAACCGATTCAATTGCTTTATTTTATACATGCCAGTCACATATTTATATGATTCACAATTATGTTCCATCCAAGTTCTAAAGATAGTCAAGATTTAGAATGAAATTGGTCAAATAGATTCAATGTTCTTCATGTAAAATTTCCTAGTTTAACAATTCTGCATATTTTTTACTTATTATGTTGTTACTTTGCTAACTCAGTTTTCTTCATTCTGTTTGCTATCTCACTATGGTTTACAAAGTACCCGGTAAAAAAGAAAAGGAAGATTCCCAATTTAGCTATTGTCTATATTTATTATTTGTTCTTACTTATAGAGTTATTTGGTGCTGGTTACTTGGTTGTTCAAGTGAAACTGAGTTTGTTCAAGTGTTTGCTGCTGGTTACTTGGTTATTTGTTGCTTGTGAGCTCATGGTTACTTGTTTGCTGCTGGTTACGTGTTTGCTAATGGTTACTTGGTTGCTTGTGAGCTCATGGTTACTTGAGCTGTTGCAAAATTCATTTTGGGGTATTTGTTCAAGTGTTTTTTGAGCTAATGAATTCATTGTTTACAGGCTATATAAGTGGGTTTTTTTTTTAGTTTTTCGGATTTAGCTATGATGATTGGTCATATATTGATATTGCCGACTACAATGGAATTTCATTGTTTACAGGAGGCGTTCATGAATGAGAATGCAGTCTATATTGCTTTTGTAATTTTTAAATGAGGCAGTCCATTATTTGAATGCAATCTGCAATGCAATTTCATTATATAGGTGTTGAAAATAAAATGACCATTTTCTAAGCCTCTATGTTATTATTTATTTTTGCATTTTATTATTTTTATTGTCTAGGGTTATTTTATGACGGTTTATAGCCATTGGAGTATAAATTTGAATGGGTATGCTTACCCCAATTGAATACATTTGTAGTTGTTTTTTTGTGGGAGGTAAGCTCACCAAAGTTCTTATATTCACCATTTATTATTTTGGTAATCCTAAAACTTGTTTGCTACAACTATTGATTTCAAATTCTAAAATTTGTAATGCTATAATTTGAGTTTAAAACAAACAAAATATTATAAATTATAGTATTCCAAATCCCAAAATGTTGTTGAAACAAACAAAGTTTTAGGAATCCCAACCCATAACAAAACACCTACGGATTTGAAATCCCATGGTGAAATTCATATCCTAAAATTATAGGATTTGAAACAAACACCCCCTAATCATTCACTAGATAATCAATGGTTATGATAATGTTATGGTCTCTTGATTATTTTAAGGATTTGAACATGTCTGATCATCAATATGATTATAAAACTTTGGAGTTAATTGCTGCTAACAATGGACGAAAATGATATGTTGAATGGAAATTCGCATGATTATAGAGGTCTTTGGTTGTATGAAAATAGTGTAGGAAACTGCAATATATTTTGATTGTTTGGTTGTGCAACATTTTAATTAGGAAAGTTAAACGAACTAATAATTTATAGAAACGTTTTACAAAAAAATGCTACAAATAGTTTGTTGGGAGCAAAAGCTACGATCTCTAAAAATTGGACATCAACGTCATCAATTATCTTTTGAGTTATTCTTCTATTTGATTTTGTACGCTACTGTTTTCAATTCTTCTTTTTATTTTTTCCTACCAAAATTTTTATTTTCCAATAAAACCGTCATTTTAACTGAATTTTTTATTTTTAGGAGTTTATTTAAAATGGCAAGAAACACTCTCACACCTAGGGGGGAAAAAGCTAAGAAAATGCTCTTGCGCTCAGAACACAGGGGAGGATCTACATACAGTCCAGGGGGGGCCACGGCCCCCCCAAAATTTGGGAAAAAAAATTAGGGTGCTCTATTCCTCAAGCCCCCTCAAAATTTTAGGGGGAAAAATTAGGGTGCTCTATTCCTAATTTAGGGGAAAAAATTAGTTTGTGAATATTAATTATTTGAGGGGTTTTACATATATATTAATAGTAAATACCTTACCATGAGCAGCAACAAGATTAATAAAAGGGTTGCATTAAAATTGGAAATTTTTGGAGAGGTATTTAGCGAATGGTTATTCTTAAAGGGGTTTATTAATAAAGGGGGTTATTCTTAAGGGATTAATAAAGGGGGTTTCATTGAAATAGGAAAAGATAATGTATCTTCACTCCATCGTAATGCTGAAAAGGCATGTGTGGATTTGATGAACCAACCGCAACACATATCAAGGCGATTCGACAACTTCAATGCTGAATAAGTTGCAACAAATCGTCTTCGGTTAAGAGTTCATATACTTGTGGTGTGATTGCTTGCACTCCAAGAGATTCCGTTTAGATGCCACGATGAGAAATCTAGTTCGTCCAATCGTGGTAATTTTCTTGAATTTTTGGATGTGCTGGCCATGGAGAATGACGAACTTTCAAAGGCAATTGCGAAAGCTCTCAAAAATGCCAAATATACTAGTCATGATATTCAAAAACAAATATTTCATGTGTTTTCAGTGAGATTGAAAAATGCAATTCGTAAAGAAATTGGAGTTGCCAAGTATTGCATTATTGTTGATGCAGCCCGTGATGAGTAAAAAAAGAGCAAATGTCTATTGTGTTGAGGTTTGTGGACACTAATGGATTCATTCAAGAACGTTTTTTTGGCTTGTTCATGTTTCCGATACTACAGCTTTGACTTTAAAGAACGCCATATATTCTGCTTTGGCTCATTACAATTTGGATGTTCAAAATATTAGATGTCAAGGTTACGATGGGGCCAGTAATATGAGGGGTGAATTCAATGGATTGCAAGCTTTGATTATGAAAGATTGTAAGACTGCTTACTATGTTCATTGTTTTGCTCATCGGCTACAGTTGGCTCTTGTTGCGGCAGCAAAAAATCTGACTCCCATTCATATGTTTTTTGATAAATTAATTTCTATAGTTAATATGGTTGGTGCTTCTTGCAAGCGTAATGATGAATTGAAGAAAGCTCACGCGGATGACATTGCCCATTTGATTTCTATTAATGAACTCGAGACATGGCCTGGACTTAATCAGATCGGCACTTTACAACAAGCTGCTGATACGCGTTGGAGTTCTCATTTCAGATCATTATCAAGTTTGATCAGGATGTTTAGTGCAGCATGTACGGTGTTGCTCAAAGTTATGGAGGATGAGCTTCCCTCCCAACGAGCCGATGCAACATCTGTTTATGATGAAATGACTTTGTTCGATTTTATATTTATCTTACATCTAATGAGTGAGATTATGGGGATCACAGATTTTCTTCGCCAGACTTTACAAAGGAAGTCTCAAGACATTTCGAATGCAATGGAGCTTGTGTCATCTACAAAAAGATTACTACAAGAGTTAAGGGATGACAAGTGAGATAATTTGCTTGAAAAAGTAAAGTCTTTTTGTGTGGCTCGTAACATTAATATTTCTGATTTTAGTGCTCAGTATGTTGATAGACGACATATCGAGCTCATGGTCATTAAGACATCACCATTGGGCATCATTACCGAGTAGACTTTTTTTATGACGCGATTGATTCACAAATGCAAGAAATTAATGTGCGTTTTAGTGAAGATGCGACAGATTGCTCATGCTTAGTTCTGCCTTAAATCCTAAAAATGCATCTGAGGCTTTGAGAATACAAGATATATGCAAATTGGTTCGCAAGTTTTATGCAAAAGATTTTACAAGTGAAGAAAAAGAGAGTTTGAAGATGCAACTGAAACATTATGAGCATAATGTAGTCAAATGGTCAGACTTCAAAACTCTTTCAACCATTTCTGAGTTGTGTCAATGGTTGGTAAAGACTAATAAATCTGCTACATACGGCCTTATTTTTAGAGTGATCGTACTTGTGCTTACTCTTCTAGTTTCTACTGCTACTGCAGAACGATCATTCTCAGCTATGAATATCGTCAAGACTAGGCTTCGAAGCAAAATGGAGGATGCTTTCCTCTCCGACACATTAATGTTGTTTATTGAAAGAGAAATTGCTAAAAGTCTGAGCATTGATGCTATCATTGAAGACTTTAAAAATTTTAAGGAACGTCGAATTCCTTTTAGTTAGAGAAATTTAAGTTATAAAAAAATAGATGATGCTTATTTGACTATTTTCTATATAATATTTGTCTTCCTCTTTTGAAGTATTTTGGAGATATTGATGTTGACTATTCTACTCGTTTTATTTGGGTTGTGGTATATCTCTTGTGAATAAAATTACATTAAGAAAATTTTTCATCTATCTTTTGTACGCGGCCCTCCCAGAATTAAAATCCTGGATCCGCCCCTGTCAGAACAAGCTACAAAAATTCCCAATGGTACCTAGAAAAATAATAAAGAAATACTGTCGCACTCCGCAGAAAATAGAAAAATGCCCTCAAGCTTGGAAAAGATCTAGAGACGCAAATCATTCATTTCCTTGATAATTATACTTTAGTATGCTTATTCACGTTTCTCGTCGTGCGAGCATATATAGCATCCCTCGGACGCTAATTCTCTACTGAAAAATCTTGCCATCACTTTTTTCTGGGCCGGAAGAAACAGAGAAATAAAGCCCGATAGCCACCCCCACCGTGTTTGAATTAAAATTTGGACCATTTTAGATCAACTTGATTTAGCAAAACTCTTACAATGGACAAAGATTTTTAGAATAAGCCCGGTTACAAGGTATATGCATGATTATCGTCCAGGCTCCAAGCCCAAATTGTACCCTGGAAAAGTTTTGCTGACGTACATTCCTCTTCCCAGATATATGAAAGGGCGTGATTAGTTAAAACTAGTTGGAGGTCATAAGGGCATCTCCAACAGCTTCTCTAAAATTTTCTTTAAAATGAGAAAGCAAAAGTCATATTCTCCAAATTATTTTTACACCAACTTTAACAGCTTCCCCATTTTGAAGAATCCATTTTTTCTTCTAAAAATTTGGAGAATGCTGTAGATTTGGGTAAGCTTCCCCATTTTTTCTCCTCCATCCTTATTTTGGAGAATGAGATGGAAAATCTGTTGGACCAAAAACCTAACTAAATTCTCCAAAAGTCAGAAATGGGGAAGCTGTTGGAGATGCTCTAATATACCCCAATTTTCTCGTATCAAATTTGTACCAATATTTTTTATTTAACTAGTCGGAATGCACGCGCGTGCACTTTATAAAATATCTGGATTGTTTACTTTGTTTATTTCTTAGCTATAATTGAGTTGCGAAATAGTTTATTGCTGCCATAAAATATATTAAAAAATTTCATATGTCTCCATGGTTAACACCTTCTTGGTTTCAATATTTTCTCTTCCGGAGAAATAGTGAGGTTTAGGGTCTTAAAATTGGAAAAAATGTGTCAAGGCCCCTAAAAAAGAAAGCTCATGTGGCCAGCCTTATTGTATTATTTTTCATGTGAGACAGCCCCTAATACTATAAATAATTGTGTTTTAGCCCTATGCACTCTTCCAAGTCAGCACAATGAGAAATGTTTTGCAAAAACTCAATTCTACCCCTTAATCCATTCTTTCTCTCTCTTCTTTCTTCTCTTGCTCAAACCTTAGAGACCTAACCCAGATCTGATCCCTCACCAACGTCGGCACGATGACCCGCCTTCTTCACTAATGCATCGCCTACCAGCGCTCTCTCGACGTCCGTCTCGACTCCCTCCTCTCCTCCCGCCCCGATCTTGACCGTAGCCTCCACGCACTCCGCCGCTCCTCTCCTCTCCTCTCCCTCACCCGCTCTGATTCATCCCTCCTCCTTTCCTCCCTCTCCTCCATCACCTCCCTCACCAATCAAGTCTCCTCTCGTGTTTGCTAGCTTGACCTCGCCCAGTCTCAAGTGCATCTCACCCTCTCCCGCATCGATGCCTTACTTCACCGTTCGTAGTCCATCGACGCCGCTCGATACCGCTTGACGTTGAAGACTATGACTCTGTCACCGCATCAAGAATTTATTGTCTGTTGGGGTTTCCTAAGGGCCGGATCCAAGAGAGGTGGAGACTAACTTGGAGGAGATCTTGTCATTGATGCATTTGGGGGATGATTATACTAAGTTCATAATGTCGAAGATCAGGGGATTGGGGTTCTTTGATCCTGAATTTGGTTCAGAGGCTGTGAAGAGACAAAGTACTGTGAGTTTTAATGGAGTGGTGCATGAGCTAAGTGTGTATATTTAGTCATTGAGGAGTTCTTTATGATGGAGAATGTGAGGAATGCAATATCAATCAATGAGCAACAACTAGATAGTCTGATAACATCAATGGTGGCGGTGTATTGTATGGGTCTGATATTTCATACGTGTACATCAATGTCATCACATTTCAAGTAAATATAATACACTGGAGAAAGTATGAAATATTTTAACTACTCCCTCCGATGAATCTAGTGTCATATGTGTCAGTCTTGCAGCTGAGCTTCTAATAGAATAATGGTGATAGAAAAATCAAGCAGAGCCAATAAATAAGGATGGAAAAAAATTATTTTTAAAATTGATTGATTATAAAACTTGTGTGCATGTTTATATTGTGTTACTGATTTTAGTTGTGTTAACAGTAGATATGGATGACAAAAAATGCAACAAGCTTGACATTTATTATTCTTATTTTATTTACAGTACTTTTGCCATCAATTTGTTATGTTCATTATTAATACCATAAATACTTAACAAGTTCAGCTAAAAAGTTAACATATTCAACTGAAAGTTAACAAACATCGTTAAAAGTTAACATGTTCAGCCAAAAGCTAACAAGAAATGCAAAAAGTTAATATGTTTAGCCGAAAATTAACAGGCAACGCCAAAAGTTAACACGTTTAGATAAAAATTAACAAGAGACTTAAATAGCTAACAGTAAATGCAAATAACTTACATATAAAATCATTGTACCTCAATAGGATTAGTCTTATATTCTTACAGCTGATATTGCTTGGATACACAATTTGAATAATATTATCTAAAGTGTTTTTCGCCATAGAATAGTATTGCAAAACTAGTCTAAATTCTTTTACACTTTTAAATTGTTGACCCCCTAATATTATAAATACCTAGGATAATGTTCGGCAACTTGAATATGGGATTTCTCACAAAACCCCCTGATATTTTTTACTTTTCTTGGTAAATCATACTGACATCATTACTTCAAAAACTATGATTGATCAAAAACCCACTGTAATAAAAATAAATCTCCCAACCAGTAAAAGAATACATTGAGCCATATATGGTACTATCTCTCCCTAATCCTATGAAAATATCCATGCTAATTTTTTTAAATTTTCTATGTTATTTGGCAATCCAACAATGTTCTCTAAGTTGCTTATTCTTTGAAAGACACATGTTGTATTCCTTGGTTTTGACGAATGTGATTTAGCTCTCTTATTTGCTCCAGTTAAATAGCTAACCTAAATGGACAAACTAAAATCATTCAATTTTTATGAAGAAATCAATTCCAAATGGTTCCCTCTTCAAAGCTACAAACACAGAAAATAATGGAAATGTATATCTCTTGGTTTTGTATATTGTTATATTGAGGAGAATCCTTCTATATTAATTTCTTAAGAAACATTTTTCCCACAAACATGAGTCATTTAATCAAGACTCTCTAAGAAACCATAAATGCATTAGCTTAAAAAAAAATCCTCTGAATGCATACCTTATACTCAATGTATTAACTGTATGAAGTGACTACTTAATCCAAAAGTTACCGAGCAAAGCAATGTAATTATCAAGATTTTATCCCTTTTATCTTATCTTTGTACCTAAATGTCAACCAGTTTTATACTTCTATTTTATCATATATATGAAATTACCCTAGGGGGGGAGGGTGTTGAATAGGGTGATTACTAATCTAATCCGATTTTGATGACAAACTAAAACTTATAATGCAATATCCTAGCAATATGATATACAATAAGATATGCAAGGATAAGTAAGAGACAATAGGCGATATAAATAAGCACAAGATGTAAAGAGAGATAATGTGCAAATGACAATCGAAAACACACAATATGATCACGGAGTTCAGTCAACCCTCGACCTACGTCTCTGCTCTTTGTAGGGTCGAAAAATTGATGTTGGGATTGATTCTCTTGTTTTAAGAAAACTGGGTTCGATCACTTAGTACGAAACCCTTACAATCACTCACTCTCTCTCGATTACAGATGAAGAGAAGATTAATTCAGCCTCTCTTTGTTTAACGTGGGTTCTAGGTAGCGAAAGGATGCTTCCCCCGATGCTTGAGTCGAGCTTGCCTCCCGTTGACTATCAGAACAAGATCACAAGAGCTTCTGACCTTCGTTAGCCGGCTGGAATCGAGGTTCGATCTCCGGACTTACGCGCAAAAGATCCGATTTCTGATGATTAAAAGTCTCAATTAACCAACCAACCCTTTCTCTGTAGCCATCCGTGGCTATTTATAGGGTTTGGGCACGTAACTGACGTGCTACAATCGTGGAATCGTGGGCGTAACTGATGCGCTAAAATTGTGGAGTAGCGTAACTGACTCCTTAAATTTAGCCCACGTAGCTGACTGGGTCTTCGTCTC